TGATTATCATCATCGAAAAAAATTTCCAAATGAAAAATATTATGAAAATCGAAATCAAAATCAAAATCGAAATGAAAATCAAAATCAAAATCAAAATCAAAATCAAAATCAAAATCAAAATGAAAAATATTATGAAAATCGAAATGAAAATCAAAATGAAGAAAATAATAGAGAAAGAAAACATTCACAAGAAAAAGACCATGATTCTCATCATTCACACTCATCACATCATAAAAGCCGCTCTCATTCTCGCAATTCGAGTCACTATGAAACAGAAACAACAACTCGACATCGATCCAAAGAATCAGACGCAGAACATTCACGAGAATCGCGAGATGATAAAAGGAGACAAGAATCAATTCAATCCAAAAAATATGAAAAATATTCGCCAGATCAATCTCGCGAAATTCATGATTCAAATACTCAAAAATCAAATAAAAATGAAGACTTTTCAAAAAATCAAGATTTTTCAAATGAAAAAAATAGAGATTTTAATAGAAAATATCGTTCAAATTCAAAAGAAAATGAAAAGTCAAAAAATTATCAAAATTCAAGAGAATCAAAAAGATATCATGATCATAAATCAAGAAATCATGAACGAAGCAGAGAAGAAAGCACACGAGATTACTCAAGAGAAGACGAGCGAAACGAAAAATACAATCGAAGAGAAACATCAAGAGAAAAATATTATTCAAAAGAAAGAAAAACGGAAAATGAACAAAATGGATATTTTTTTGACAAGAAAAATCAAGAATATTCACATCGAAATTCACATTCTTCTCGTGAAAGAGAGAAGAGAAAAAAAGATGAAGAAAAATATCGAGATCGAAATGTGAAAAGAGAAAGAAAAAAAGACAGAAAAAGTGAAGAAAAGGAAATGAATAAAAAAAAAGAAGAAATGAATGAAGAAAAAAATATAAAAAATGAACTTGATAATAAACAAGAAATAAAAGATAATTCTCATCAACAAAATAATTCTATTCCAAATTTTGATAAACCGCGAATAATTAAACTAGATGGAACGTCTAGACAAAGAAATTTTTCTCGAAGAAATGAATTAAATAATTGGGTTGAAGAAAATTTTAAAAGAGAAAATATAAATTCTAATCCTAATTCTAATTCTAATTCTAATTCTAATTCTCTTAGACTTGAAGATATTAACATTTATAAAGAACGTCAAAAATTTGCCCAAAATAAAAAATCTTTTCGTAATTCTCGTTATTAAAATGAAAAGCAAAAAAAAAAAAAAAAAATTTAAATTTTTCTCCTTTTTTCTTTTTTCTTTTTTCTTTTTTTAAAAAAAAAACAAACAAATTCGGAATAAGACTTATCAATTTCTTGTTTTGTTTTCTTTTTGAAATTGATAAAGGAAATTCAATTAAAAAAAAAATTTAAATAAAAACCAATTAAAAAAAATTTTTTTTTTTTCTTTTTTAAAAAATAAAAATAAATTATAAAAATTAAAAAAAATTAAAAAAACTTACTTTTAATTTAATTTAATTTCTCTTTACTCTTTTTTTTATAATTACAAAAACAAAATTAAAAACAAAATCAAAAACAAAAAAAAAAACAAAAAAGTAAGTTTAAAAATTAAAAAAAAAATTTAATTTAAAAAGAAACCAAACAAATCAATTTAAATTAAAATTACAATTATAAAATATTTATCTTACACACAATAATAACACTTTTAAGTTTTTTAAGCAATATAATCAATTAATTTTTATTTAAAAAAATTTAACTTATTTTTTATTTCAATTTTCTTTTTTTTTTTAATTAAATCTTTTTTAGATTATATAACATTATTTCATTAATTTAATTTGATTTAATATTCCCAATTTAATTTAATTTAAATTATATAACATAATTTATTTAATTTAGATTATATAACATAATTTGATTTAATATTCCCAATTTAATTTAGATTATATAACATAAATTATTTAATATTCCAAATTTAATTTAGATTATATAACATTAATTATTTAATATTCCTAATTTAATTTAATTTAGATTATATAACATAATTTGATTTAATTTTGATTTAATTTAATATTCCCAATTTAATTTAATTTAGATTATATAACATTAATTATTTAATTTTCCAATTTAATTTAGATTATATAACATTAATTATTTAATTTTCCCAATTTAATTTAGATTATATAACATTATTTCATTAATATTCTAATTTAATTTAGATTATATAACATTATTTAATTAATTTTCCCAATTTAATTTAGATTATATAACATTATTTCATTAATTTAATTTGATTTAATTTAATATTCCAATTTAATTTAATTTTAGATAATATAACATTATTTATTTAATTTCCCAATTTTCAATTTAGATTATATAACATAATTTATTTAATATTCCAAATTTAATTTAGATTATATATCATTATTTCATTATTTGATTTAATTTAGATTATATAACATAATTTAATTAATATTCCCAATTTAGTTTAATTTAGATTATATAACATAATTTCATTATTTGATTTAATTTAGATTATATAACATAAATTATTTAATATTCTAATTTAATTTAATTTAGATTATATAACATTAATTATTTAATATTCCAAATTTAATTTAGATTATATAACATAATTTATTTAATTTAGATTATATAACATAATTTCATTATTTGATTTAATTTAGATTATATAACATTATTTAATTTAATTTAATTTAGATTATATAACATTATTTATTTAATTTAATTTAGATTATATAATATTATTGATTTAATTTAATTTAATTTAATTTAATTTAATTTAATTTAGATTATATAACATAATTTCATTATTTGATTTAATTTAGATTATATAACACAAATAAAAGCAAAAATTTAATTTAATTTAGATTATATAACATTATTTATTTAATTTAATTTTAGATTATATAACATTATTTATTTAATTTGATTTAATTTAATTTAATATTCTAATATTTTAATTTAGATTATATAATATTAATTATTTAATTTAATATTCCCAATTTAATTTAATTTAGATTATATATCATTAATTATTTAATTTGATTTAATTTAATATTCCCAATTTAATTTAGATTATATAATATTATTTATTTAATATTCCCAATTCAATTTAGATTATATAATATTATTTGATTTAATTTAGATTATATAACATTATTTAATTTAATTTAATTTAGATTATATAATATTATTTATTTAATTTAATTTAGATTATATAATATTATTGATTTAATTTAATTTAATTTAATTTAATTTAATTTAATTTAATTTAATTTAATTTAATATTCCAAATTTAATCAAATTTAAGATTGATTTAATTTTAATTTAAAAATTTTGATTTAAAATTGTAATTTAAAAAAAAAGAAATGGGAGAATCCAAAAAATCGAAAAAAAGTCGAAGTAAAAAAAGCAAAAAAAGTAAAAGCAAAAAAAGTGACAGAGAACCACCACCAAAAAGACCAAGAAACGCATATTTCATCTTTGCAGGAGAAATTAGAGCAGGAATTTTACAAGAAAACCCAGGACTTAAAGTTGGAGAAGTATCTAAAATAACAGGAAAAAGATGGAAAGAAGTGACAGAAGAAGAAAAAAAAGTAGAACAATTTTTCAACAAAAAAAAATTCTTTAATTTCTAATAAAAAAATTTTAATCCATTTAAATCATTCAAGAAATTCCAAAAATTAGCAGAAGAAGAAAAGCAAGTTTATGAGAAAAGTATGGCTGAATATCGAAAGAAATATCCAAAATCAGACTCAGATGATAAGAAAAAAAAGAGAAGAAAAAAGAATAAAAAAAACAACAACAAAAAGAAGAACAAGAAAAAATCCAAAAAGAAGAAGGATCCAAATGCTCCAAAAGCCCCTAAAAATGCTTATATGCTTTTTGCTGATCAAATTCGTGAAGGATTAATGGCAGAGCATAAAGGTATTCGTGTTGGTGAATTATCAAAGATTATTGGTCAAAAATGGAAAGAAGTTGATGAAGAACAAAAAAAGGTATTTAATATTAATTTAAATATATTAATTTAAATATATTGATTTAAATATATTGATTTAAATATATTGATTTAAATATTTATTGATTTAAATATATTGATTTAAATATATTTATTTAAATATATTTTGATTTAAATATATTGATTTAAATATATTGATTTAAATATATTGATTTAAAATATTGATTTTAAATATGATTTAAATATTTTGATTTAAATATTTATTGATTTAAATATATTGATTTAAATATATATTGATTTAAATATATTTGATTTAAATATTTTAATTTAAATATATTAATTTAAATATATTTGATTTAAATATTTTGATTTAAATATTTGGATTTAAATATTTTGATTTAAATATATTTAATTTAAATATATTGATTTAAATATTTATTGATTTAAATATATTGATTTAAATATTTTAATTTAAATATATTAATTTAAATATATTTGATTTAAATATTTTGATTTAAATATTTGGATTTAAATATTTTGATTTAAATATATTAATTTAAATATTTTGATTTAAATATTATTTGATTTAAATATATTGATTTAAATATTAATTTAAATATTAATAAAAAAGAAATTCCAAGAACAATCAAAGAAAGACAGAGAAGAATACAATAAGAAAATGGAAGAATATAAGAGAACTCATCCTCCAAAATCTGAAAGTTCTGATTCTTCAGAGTCATCTGATTCAACTTCAACTTCAACCTCAACTTCAACTTCAACATCAACTTCTTCAACTTCTTCTTCAGATTAATAATTTCATCAATTCTTTTTTTTTTCCTTTTTTTTCCTATTTGATTTTTTCTTTCATCAAATTCAAAATTCTTTTTTTTAATTTTCATTCCACTTTTATTTTTTTTTTTGATTTGTTTGTTTTATTTACAAAAGGATAACAAAAAAAAATAAGAGAGAAAAACAAACAAAATTAATAAAAACAAATTAAAAAAAAAATTAATTTAAATTTAATTAAAAAAAAAATAAATGGATCTACCAGGATTTGAACCTAGACTGTGAGATTCAGAGTCTCACGTGCTACCCTTACACCATAGATCCTTTTTAATTCAATTTAATTTAAATTTAAAATAAATATTTTTTTCAATTTAAATTTTTTAAAATTATATTCTTTTATATTTTATTATAAATATTTTATTAAATTTATATTTATTATTTTAATTAATTTTAATTTATATTTTATAAATAAATTTATTTAAAATTATATTTTAAAATATTTCTAAATTATATTTTATTTATTTTATTTATTATTTTATTAAATATTTTATTAAATTAAAATCGGATAAAAAATATTTTAATTAAAATTTAATTAATAAAAATATATAAAAATAATTAATTAATATTATTACCCTTTTACACCATAGATCCTTTTTAATTTAATTTAATTTAAAATTAAATATTTTTTTCAATTTAAATTTTTAAATTATATTCTTTTATATTTTATTATTAATTATTTTATTAATTTTTATATTTAATATTTTAATTAATTTTAATTTATATTTTATAAATAAATTTATTTAAAATTATATTTTAAAATATTTCTAAATTTTTATTTTATTTATTCTATTTTTATTTATTTTATTAATTATTTTATTAAATTAAAATCGGATAAAAATATTTTAATTAAAAATTAATTAATAAAAAATAAAAATAATTAATTAATATTATTACCCTTTTACACCATAGATCCTTTTTAATTTTATTTTTAATTTAAAATAAATATTTTTCAATTTAAATTTTTAAATTATATTCTTTTTATATTTTATTATTAAAATATTTTATTAAATTTATATTTATTATTTTAATTAATTTTAATTTATATTTTATAAATAAATTTATTTAAAATTATATTTTAAAATATTTCTAAATTATATTTTATTTATTCTATTTAATTTATATTATTAATTATATTATTAAATTAAAATCGGATAAAAATATTTTAATTAAAAATAAATTAATAAAAATATATAAAAATAATTAATTAATATTATTACCCTTACACCATAGATCCTTTTAATTTATTTTAATTTAAAATAAATATTTTTCAATTTAAATTTTTAAATTATATTCTTTTTATATTTTATTATTAAATATTTAATTTAAATTTATATTTATTATTTTAATTAATTTTAATTTATATTTTATAAATAAATTTATTTTAAAATTATATTTTAAAATATTTCTAAATTATATTTTATTTATTTTATTTAATTTTATATTATTAATTATATTTATTAAATTAAAATCGGATAAAAATATTTTAATTAAAAATTAATTAATAAAAATAAATAAAAATAATTAATTAATATTATTACCTTTTACACCATAGATCCTTTTTAATTCTAATTTAATTTAATTTAAATATTTTTCAATTTAAATTTTTAAATTATATTTTTTATATTTTATTATTAAATATTTTAATTAAATTTATATTTAATATTTTAATTAATTTTAATTTATATTTTTATAAATAAATTTATTTAAAATTATATTTTAAAATATTTCTAAATTATATTTTATTTATTTTATTTAATTTTTATTAAATTAAAATCGGATAAAAATATTTTAATTAAAATTTAATTAATAAAAATATATAAAAATAATTAATTAATATTATTACCCCTTACACCATAGATCCTTTTTAATTCAATTTAATTTTAAATTAAATATTTTTCAATTTAAATTTTTAAATTATATTCTTTTTATATTTTATTATATTAATTATTTAATTAAATTTATATTTATTATTTTAATTAATTTTAATTTATATTTTATAAATAAATTTATTTAAAATTATATTTTAAAATATTTCTAAATTATATTTTATTTATTTTATATAATTTATTTTTTATTAAATTAAAATCGGATAAAAATATTTTAATTAAAAAAATTAATTAATAAAAATATATAAAAATAATTAATTAATATTACTACCCTTACACCATAGATCCTTTTTTTAATTTAATTTTAATTTAAAATAAATATTTTTCAATTTAAATTTTTTTAAATTATATTCTTTTTATATTTTATTATAAATTATTTTAATTAAATTTATATTTTATTATTTTAATTAATTTTTAATTTATATTTTATAAATAAATTTATTTAAAATTAAATTTTATTTATTTTATATAATTTATTTTATTAATTATTTTATTAAATTAAAATCGGATAAAAATATTTTATTTAAAAATAAATTAATAAAAATAAATAAAAATAATTAATTAATATTATTACCCTTACACCATAGATCCTTTTTAATTTAATTTAATTTTAATTTAAAATAAATATTTTTTTCAATTTAAATTTTTTTAAATTATATTCTTTTATATTTTATTATTAAATATTTTATTAATTTTATATTTATTATTTTAATTAATTTTAATTTATATTTTATAAATAAATTTATTTAAAATTATATTTTAAAATATTTCTAAATTTTATTTTATTTATTTTATTTTATTTATTTTATTAATTATTTTATTAAATTAAAATCGGATAAAAAATATTTTAATTAAAATTTATTTGAATTTGTTTTTATTGAAAATTGTTTTTGAAATGATTTGAGAAAAATGAAAAATGAAAAAAAGAAAAAATGAAAATTTGGAATTGATTTGATTTGATTTGATTAAAATTTTTGTTTAATCTAATTTAATCCTTTTGCTTTTTGATAAAGAGATCCAATCACAACATTTAAATTTTCCATAATTTCAATTGATAATTTATAAGTTTCCTATTTAATTTTGAATTTAAAAATTTAATTTTGAATTTAAAAAAATAAAAAAATATAATTTACATCTGGAATAGTTTCATCATAAATAATTAAACATCCTGCTCCTTGATCAAGAATTCCTTCAAATTTTTTATCTAGAATCATTTGAGATAATCTTAATAAATTAAAAAAATATAAATTAATAAATAAATTAAAATAAAAATTTTTAAATAATAATAAATTATTATACTTTGTTTCAACTGTTTTTGTATCAAGTTTAATTAAATCTGCAATATGTGATATTTCAACTCTTGAAAATGGTTCAATTAATCTGAGTAAATTTTGTTCAAGCATTGTTTCATAAAGTGAATTAAGTAAATTTTTAATAATTGGATCTTTCTTGTAATTCTTTTTATTTATTTTTATTTTGAATTAAATATTTTAAATTGGAATAAATATTTCTTTTTTAAATGGAAAATAAAAGAATAAACCTTTATCATATTCTTTAATAGCTTCATTGAATTTATGTAAAGATCTTTCAGAATATGCTTCAGAAATTTTAACTATACAATCAATTTCTCTTCCTGTAAATTTTGATGCTACTTTTTCCATTAATAATAAATATATAAAAATTTAAAATATTAATAATAAATATTTAAAATATAAATATTTAAAATATAAATATAAATATTTAAAATATAAATATAAATATAAATATAAATATAAATATTTAAAATATAAATATAATTTAAAATATAAATATAAATATAAATATAAATATTTAAAATATAAATATTTAAAATATAAATATAAATATAAATAAAACAAACATGTTCCATCATAATTTTTGTTAAAAGCATATATTTTAATGTGGAAATAGCTTCTTTTTCAATAAATTTAAATTTAGTTTGACCAACAATATTATCTGAATATTTTTTCTTAAGTTTTGGATCAAGAACAATAGTTGAATAACCTTCAAATGATTCAAAAAAATAAGAGAAAGCAGTTTTAAAATCTTGTTCATGAATATGTAAAATTCCAGATAATTTATCCATTTCTGATTGTAATAAAGGTGGACAATAAACTGCATTTGCTGATGTTCTTGCTGATGTAAGTGATGCTTTTGCTTTAGGTATGTTTTTCAATTCAATATGAATTTTAGTTTCAATCAAATTAACTTCAATTAATAAAAGTTTATCATCTAATTTTTTCACTTCTTTAGCTAAATTAGTTATTGTTGTTAAAGCCATTTGGAAATTTGTATTTTCTAAATATCTTTTTTTTAAATATTAATTTTATAAATGAATTTTAATTTTAATTTTATAAATGAATTTTAATTTTAATTTTATAAATTAATTTTAATTTTATAAATGAATTTTATAAATGAATTTTAATTTTAATTTTTAATTTTAATTTTTAATTTTAATTTTTAATTTTAATTTTAATTTTAATTTTAATTTTAATTTTAATTTTAATTTTAATTTTAATTTTAATTTTAATTTTTAAATGAATTTTAATTTTATAAATGAATTTTAATTTATAAATGAATATTAAAAATATACAAAGAAGCTAATTTTGATTCAAGTCTTTGTCTTAAATAAGAACGTTTTTCTTTTTTTGCCCAATCAATCCAATGAGAACAAACATGAATTTGTAAATCAATAGAATTAGGAATTTGATTAATTAATTCAATTAATTTTCTAACAATTTTTGCAGTTCTAGCTTTTGGAAGTTGAAGGAAAAAATCTTGTAAAGAATCCATTAAATTTTTAATATTTTCACCAAATCCTAATTTTGCAAAAATTTCACCAATTTCAATAATTGTTTCTTCTTTAATTTTAATTTCTTCTTCATTTTCAGTTTTTGTTTGAATAATTTCTTGATATTCTTTTAATATTTCTTTTTCATTTTTATTTTGTTTTGCTTTTTGATATTTTTCTTTAAGAGAAATCATTTTTAAAATGAAAAAAATGAAAAATGAAAAAATTAAAAATGAAAAATTAAAAAATTAAAAAATGAAAAATTGAAAAAATTAAAAGTCAAATTGTTTTTGTTTTTGTTTTTGTTTTTGTTTTTGTTTTTGTTTTTGTTTTTGTTGATCAAAAAATATAAAAGAAAAATAATCAAATCTTTTTTCCATTTTTTTCTTCTTCTTCTTCAAATTGTTATTTATAAAGATAAAAATAATGAATCAATCAAATTTTTTAAATCAAAATTCTCAAAATAAAAAATCTTTTGATTCTATTAATTCGAATGAATTAGAAATTTTCTCAAATAAAATTAATCAAAAAAAAGAAGAAAATGGAACAAAAAGTAAAAATTAAAAAAA